GCAGGCTGTGACCAGGACTGCTTTTTGCCCAGAAACTCAGTTCTGTATGTCTTTACATCTCGGTTCACTCTCTCTTTCTTTATTTGTATCAATCAGAATACTTTGCTCTTGTAAGAGAAATTGGTGGTTTTCTGGGCCATTTAACAAATGCTGTGGGTCAAATTCAGACTTGATGTAAGACGGAGGAGATACTGTTGGTGTCCTTGAGAGTTATATGCACACAGGGCCTGAGTCTGGCCTCAAATGTGGACCTTCCAACACCAGCAAAACATGGTAGGAATATTAAAGTTTCTTCTTTGAGGTGCAAATATCTTTTTTCGCTCTCTATGGAGTTTATGAGGATCCTAGAAGCACTTCTACAGCAGCATGGAACGTAAGAGCTTTGTGTTTTCTGAAAACTAAGGCTTACATATTTTGCAACAGAAAGTTCGTTTTCAACATTAATCTATTCAAAAGCCTGAAAACCAAGCTCAGACCTCTACAGAAGGTACTTACAGTAACTTAATACTGATACTTCTCATGATGGATGCAGAAGATTGAATGCTGCTTCTGTAGCATTCAGCACTACATACAGAGGTGTTGGCAAACAAATTTAATGGGAGCTGGGCTCAGTGGAGTTGCAGTAGGTACCATGGGAAGAACACAACCACTGCAACCTTCATGTCATCCTCCTGTAGCTCCCTTCTGCATATCTAAATTTCTTCCTCGGCCTCAAAACTGCTGAGGATTCTTTCTTATTCCCCTGTACCTTCCCCCAACCTGGGATCATCTTATTTTTTCCTAGAACTCATCCCATTACCGGGATGAATTCCAAATCTGCCTAAACTGGATCTATTGTTTAAAACTTACCAGGAGCTTGGGGGCATCTGATTCATTTCAGTGTGCAGCTGGATATGGTGTGTTCTCATTTTTTTTAATAATAGAAGAGGACTTACAGGGTACAGACCTTGGTTCAGGTTTGGGTACAAAACCTTAAAATGGGTTTAGGTTCTAATATGCTGGTTTACTCCAAGAACAATTCTAATCTGAAAAACTTAAAAGTCAAGTTAAGAAAAGACAAACTTGTTATTAATATTAAGAAGCAGTGAACAACAGTATGTTTCTGAGCCCTGTGTTCTTTATTATGACAGAAATGAACAATTAGTTTATTAGGTATTATTCAAAGTCATAGTATTAATTATATCTCAGATCAAGTCCAATTGAGAGCAACCAACCCACTGCTAAACTAGGTGATACACTAAACTAGGTGGGGAGTTAACTCCTCTGAAAAACTCATTTATACTGTTGGTACTTTCTGATATAACCCTAGGAAACATGCAATGGCAAATGATCATGCCTTGCTAGGGAAATCATTTAGGGAAATGAGCACAGAAATTTTCTGCCTTGGAAAATTTCTATTTATCTTAAAATCTACATAAACCCCAAACAGCACACATTTTGAGCCTCAAGCTTGTCACAGCTGCTGCAAAGGGTCAGCTGGCAGCCTACAAGCCAGATATCACCCTCCAAGCCACACGCTGAGCTTGCCTTTTTTGGGGGAGGAGATGGAGAACAGCTGTCTAAGCAGCACAACCTGCATTTCCAGCTCTATCCTTGCTGCCCTGTACAGCTAGGCACCTGGATCCCCAAGCCTACACAGTTCCTGTAGGAGGAGATACATCTTTGGACTACCTCCAGGTATCCCCAAGATGAGTGGGACCCTCGTTCCTCAGCAGAGGACAGTTTCACATACCTTTGTTGTAGCTTGTAGCTATGAGTAATTGCCATGAGCATCTCCCCTGAAAACCACCATGGTGTGACATGGCACATGAGTTCCTCAGTCTGGCTTTCTACAGTTTCAGACTTTAAACACCAATAATTAAATAGACTTTGAATCATACTTGCTAATGCAGTTTGCAGAGTGCAGGGTTCGCCAGCTTCCCCAGGTGAGGGCCCTTGAGCAGTCATGCTTCTCCTCTCCAGCAGCTCCAGGCTGCAGGTGGTTTAGGGAGTGTGTTGTAGTAATCTGGCCTTAAGGCCACAGAGACATAGATCACTGTGCCAAAGTCTCTGCATGAAGGAAAAGGTCCTTGATTTTGAATAGTTTGGATATTTTGTAGGTCATTTTTGAAGATCATGAAGAAAATGGGTTTCCTCATTCAGTGCTGTCAAAAATGACCATCAGGATGCAATGCTGCCCTGTGTGCTTTAGTTGAAGCCCACTGATAGGTAAGGCAGTCATCAACAGGGTGAGATCTTCCAGATGCATTGTCTTACAAGGAATAATTCTGGCTCATGTGGGCTGAGTCTTAACCTCTGGGCTTTATGTTTACCCTGTAGCGCAACTGAAAATTCAGGTCAGGGTTGTGACAATCAGTGTCTTGAAGGTTTAGAAATAGAAGGATGGGTATGTAAACTGTAATGATAAACTCATTTACTTTACAAGAGATGATGTCTCCCTATTACTTCTACAAATAGACTTTAGATATGAGTATCTACTGAGTGTCAGTGGGAAGAGTATATCTCATAAGGCTCTGACCTGGTTATCTTCTAACCCTGAGCAATTAATCACTAGCATCTAATAGGGAGTAGCTGTGAAAGGAAGCATTTGTTTTCTCCTTTTCTACAGCTATCAGACCTATAGCTTCCTTCAATGTGGCACTACTGTTTTCCTTTGGAAGACCTGGCACAAAATGAACCTTCCTCTGTAAGGGGAAATTACCAATTAGAACATCTTTAAAAATAATATTAAAACCCCACCCAAACACCCACACCAGCAACTTCAGCAGTAAAGACACCCAATACCAAGGTCTCAGTTATGAGCTGTGCTGTACATGGGAGCAGAGGAGAACAGAAAAGGTTCATGTTCCCCCTCCATGTGGCTTACTTGTGTTTCTAGTGCCTGTGTCTGCAGTAGAGGCCTGGGAGAGGACTGAAAACCATTATTCTACCACACTGGTGGGGAGGGCTGGGGACCTTCCCCACCAGTTCAGTTGTAAGCAAGAAGAATGGCTTTGTCTGCTGTGGGCTGTGCAAAGTTGGAGTAAGGTAGTGAAGAATCAGGCCCCATTGATTCCTTGTAGTACTGGAGCTTTGTTTTGAAGTGCAATAAAAATACAGGTGGTGGAGGAGATAATGCACAGTACCGTTCCTTTGGGACACACAGGGAGACAGCAAGGAATTCCAAAATATGGAGCGTGGGTTTTTTTTCTAGCACTGATCACAAACATTACCTCAAGAAAACACCCAGAAGTAGTAAATATGCAAATTTGTTATGAAAGAAGAATGTACAAGTACCAGCTATGTTAGAGAATTTAAGGATATTTGATCCTGATGCAGTTTATCAGATCACAGTTTTAATTTGTGCATTAATTTTTTTCTTTTCTTTTTAAGGGGGGGGGGTCCTCTTTTAAGAATGTTTTGTTTCTTTCCTGCTTCAATACTTGTACAAGAGCTATCTCACTTCTGCTGAGATGCAAGAAGTGTATTTACAGTGCAATATAAATCTGGGTTGGAGAATACCAGTTTCATATAAATTAGATGGCAGAGCACTGTTCCGCTATTTTGTTGTCTAAATTATATGGAAATTGGTCTTATGCAAGAAGTAAGTCCTCACAGAACAGAGCCCTTAGGCTTTTGGTTTAATTATCATAAGCTTTCATTTAATTAAACTTATTAAATGGTTTGGTGGAAGAGCAGACTATCATTTTGCAGAAGCTTTCTGGAAGAGAAAAATATGCCCTAGCTGCTTGGGGCAGCTTGTAACTTTCCTTCAGAGATGTTTTTATAGGTATAAGAGCAAGGATGGCCTGGGCCATCCTCCCAGGCACCTTCAAACTCTTCATACCCAGAGGCTTTTCAACCTGTTCCTTACCACAGAGCCAGTAAATTCAGCTTACCCTGCAGCTGGTATTTCTGTTTATGGGCCAGAAATTATAGGACAGTTTTGGCATAAGGAGAAGCAGATGTAAGCAAACCACAAATACCTGGAAACCTAAAGAAAGTCCTAAACTATCAGAATAGGGAGGTTTTGTGACAGAAAAAGTTTCCAAACTAACCAACTAACCAACCAGAAAAAAAAAAACAAGAAACCCCCAAAAACAACCCAAATCTCACAAACTCTAAATAAAGCTCTTATTTGCTTTCAGATCAACTTGATAAATTCATTTTGGACATTACATGGTATAGTGTCTGTACTAACAGGTGATGCAACTCAATGACACAGGGAGCCTCCTCCATTCTTTTGTTCATAGGCAACTCTTCCATGAGGCTTTACTTTCATAAAAATACATAGCTATGGGGTTCACCCCAAATGTGATGGCCACCTTCATATGCAACCATTGTCCATGGTGTACATCAATTTAAGCAGGAAAGACCTCATCTGAGACTTGGATACAAGCATCCTTGTTCTGACGAATTTGACTTTTGGTGACTTCCTACAGAATCCTGGCTTTATTAAGTCAATTCTATAATACAATCAATCACTGGCATTGTTTGTTTCTTGGAAACATTACACATTTTATTTTATTCTACAAACCATAAAGCTTTTATCTGGGTTGAAAAAATAATTGATACTATTTCTCCAAACACAATATTGTGGAAGAGGACTATGTATTAAAATCTGTGGTGCTGTGTACCGACTCCTTTAGAAAAGGAATAATTAGAAGAATAATTAGCTGAACATGTGAAATTGAGATGCTTCTTCAGGGACATGTGAGAAGCTGATTAATAAGAGGAAGGAGGGCCATTGTGTGCCAGGGACCTAATAAATGTATTTAAGGACAAATAGGTAGAAAAAGAAAGTACACATTACTAATGTTGATAGAAAGCTTTAACTGCCTAATGAATTTCAGAAATTGGTTGAGAATAGTTAATCTGTGTGATAACATGACCCACAGGGTTAGTTAGATCTGTGAATTCTTATCCCCCTGAGGACTTAGCAAGTTTCCAGAGATTCACACCAAATACTTACAGGCAAAAAGCATTCACAGTCGGAAGATTTCATGCAGGTTTTGCTTCTGAATGCTCATGTTACACAAAACCCAATATACTGAGATAAGGGCAGAGACTGAAACTCAGTACTAGCCACAGTGTTAATTAAAATTTTCACTAACAATCATGCACATTTGGATTTATTATGGGATCACATATAACTCCAGATGAAAGGAAGTGTTTTACCATAACAATACTTGATTCTCGGTTGCTTCTCTATGCTAAATTAAACTCTGTATATATGCTGAAAAGCAAATATATCAGTTGGTATTTTCTTCACTGGATCAGGCATTTCTTACACACCTGTTACAAAAATTTCATGCAAAATTCACAGAAAAACCCACCTAACTTATACAGACTAGAGCTATAAAGTGCTTAGTAATTGCAGTCTCATCAGTGTTTTAGGAACACTGCCAATGGTAAGGCAAAACACATTTTAGAGAGCTCAAAAGAAAACGTAGGCAGTGTAACATGCTACTGACCCGAGCAGCGGCATGATCATCAGATTTCTTCTTCTGGTGCTAGCGGGCACGAGTGCTGCTGGGGGTGGTGAAGAAATGTGTTCCTTTGTGAGCAGGGGGAGCTGGAAATGCCATTTCTTGTTTGCTTGAGATGTTGTGTCCTGGCTGGCCTAGGTGAGAAGTGCAAAATGAAAAGGAAAATTGTTTCACAAAAGGCAGGTTTTGTACCTTACATCCCCATTGGGCTGTTCAACTGGGATTTCCAAAAGAATTTAAGGCAGTTAGGCACCCAAATCCACTGAAATCTTGTCTGAAAAATCTCAGCTGTAGCCGTTAGTGACATGTTACAGCAGCAGCTTTTCCTTTTGAAGAACGGGATGGATTTCATACTTCTTAATATGGATGTAAAGATGAAGAAGGGGGCAAAAAAAGATAGACCTCAAGTCTGCAAAATTGGCAGCCCCATAGATGATTGAAAGGAAACGTATGTCCCCATTTATGTGGGAAATCTACAGACTGTGAGATGCATTCATGTCCAACCTGTGCTTTTATCCAAACTGCAATACACGGTTTGCATTCCTGCACAACATTACAAGAGGTAAGTGAGACCAAAGAGTGGTGATCCTGAAAATAAAAAGCAGATACACATTTAGGGCATGTATCTCTGACTACATATACCCCTGGCTCACCCCCTGAAAAAAGGGATTAAAAAAAAGGCAGGATTTGTTTGTAACAGTGACATTAATATAAATGGTGTAGAAGGTATACTTTTCAGCTGATATTGCAAAAGGGAGTGCTCACTGCATACTTGTGCGTAGGAGGTCCTGCTGAAAATACTTATATATAATTTAACAAAAAAGAAGCTTTTGTACTAAGAAATGATGGCTTAAAGCTTTCTTATTTGGGAAAATTCCAGCCTTTGTGCTCATATCCCAGTTATTACAGTAAAGACTTCCAAATGGGAGATATTTTAGAAGAAAACAGTACCAGAGTGATAAGAGCACTGTGCTTATTTTTCTTCAAGTAGTGGTATGCTTTCAGTTTAAGAAGGAATTTTAAAAGGTTCTAGATGAGATGGTACAAATCAAACATATTTCCATAATATTTATATAAAATATGTCAAGAAAAAGGAATAATAGAGACTATTACAAAACACTGTATGAGAAACAAGAACAAATAGCAGGATAGGAATGCATCTTGTTGACCATAGTTACACAGAGCATTTTTGATGTATTAATCCATCTGCAGCAAGGAACAATAAAAATTATTTGAGAAACACAAACCTTTTACTAAATAAGAACAACATCTCATTTGTCATTCCATTTAACTGCCCATTAAACATGTCTTTTTGTGGGAAGATGTATACCTAGAAAACTTGCATGGACTCCCGTTGCTAAAAATATGCACACTGGCCGAACCAAGGTGATGCCTCTTGTCTCTAGGGTTGGTATTTGCTACTACATTATCTTTTCCTGTAGGGATATTAACATACAGATAACATTAACAGAAAGAAAATTTATTAGCAATGACAGAAAGGCAAGGAAGATTGGTGAGTAAGATCCAAGGGTATGAGGGGAAAGATCAAACAACATCACAGAGTTTATCATCAGTCTGTGCTTGGTTACCTACAAGAGAAAGTGAAGCTTCAAAAAGATGAGAAGAAAGCTGATGATGGGGTGACAGAAGCAGCTCCTCTCCAGGACAATGACAGAACAGTAATTATAGACAACGATGACATGTGATGGAGAGCTTTACCCTCCAACATTACAGGAAACTATCTAGGCAAAACACATGTATCAACACACTTTATGATAGGGGGGATAAGGAATGAAAGGAAAGGTGAAACACATCCTCCGCCACCATTGTGTCACTGTGCTTATGGTATCAGGAGTGGAGACAACCTAATGCAAGAGAAGCAAATAAATGTGTCCCTGTGCAGAAGACAACAGGGCACTTCAGAGCTGAACTGTGGTGGCTGGGCAGCTCCTGTGTCTTGGACAATGTTCAGGGCTGTGCCTTCGTCTCACCATGACTTACCCAGAGCCTGCAGGAATCGCAGATCAGTGTTGCTGCCAGCAGCGACCCTGAAAAGTAGTAGTTGCATATTTATTTAAATTTGTAATACATACATTTAAAGCTCTTCCTGTAGGCTGAGGATTCCACAACACCAAGAGTGTCACAGGAAGTGCTTGAACTGCTGCTCCTGGAGAAACACTAAACAACTGCTGATGTCAAAAGCCAGTGAATAGCCCCTTACCATAACAGCCAGCTCTGCATACCTGCAAGTTGGAGTAGCAGAAACGTACCACACAGAAATACTGCTTCCAGCAGGTTTTTTTGAGTCTTATCTGAAGTACATGGGTAATACACAGCTCCTGTCCCATGCTTGAGCATGATCCCTGACCACAGCCACCATCCATCCTCTTGACATTCTGAGGACAGCAGGCTATCTCACCCTGAGCTTTCCAACACTGAGACTTATGATCTGGCATATTCTTATCCTGAAGAAAGCCTGAAGGATGGCTGGGTGTGAGAGTAACAAGAGGGAGGTTGTTTCAAACCATACAGTTGCGGTTACTGAGAGTGACTCCAGCCACAGGGCCAGGCTGGTTAGGATCAAAGCACTGTGTCTTCACCCTCTTTTAGTGCCTACAAACAGGCAAAGGAGGGGTTTTTTCATTTGGGTCCAAGTAGAAGTAAAGCAAAATAAAGAGAGTCCACATTTCACTTTTGGTAAACCACAGAAAAGTATCACTTTAAAATAGAAGTAGTTTCAGTGAACAACAGTATGTTTCTGAGCCCTGTGTTCTTTTTACCAAAGGAATTAAGAATTAGTTTATTAGGTAATATTCAAAGTCATGATATTAATTATATCTCAAATCAAGTCCAACTGAGAGCAAGCAACCCACTGCTAAACTAGGTGATACACTTTTCTATTAAAACATTTCTAGTTCATTTGGCTGCAGTTATTAAAGTTTCTTTTACTTACCATATCCTGTCAAGATCAATTGCTTAAATGAAGCTCCTGTCAAAACTGCATGACTTTTTTACAGTATATTAACATCTATGGAACCACTCAGTGCTCAATTATTGCTGTAGGACAGTTCTTCTAAACAGTTAAAACTGGGGACACACTTATGCTGTCCTGTAAACTCAGAGCTCAAGGTTGTGCTCCATGGATTTCTGTTCCACCCTCCTGATAATGTGTTGACCTCCCCTTTGCTTCAAGTCTGCATGAAAGCTCGTGGGTGACCAGTAGGGAGCGATGGGAGCACCCTGCCGATGCTGCTGGCTGATACCACGTGGTGCTGAGAATTGGGGCCCACCTATAAGCATTAGATGTAACCCAAGATCCCAGTAGTCAGCTCTGCGTAGTTTATTGAGAGACTCTGAAAAGAAATAAAGGCAAAGATTTTTCCTGTTAGCATGCACACACTTGTGTTTGTTCGCTCTCACGCACACAGACATTATAAGGACCAATAAAAGATCAAAAGCAAATAAATGAAGCAAATTAATGAAAATGAAGTGGAAGACTGTAATCACACCCAGCCATGCCAAAAAGAAAAAAAAAAAAGCTCTGAACAAATTAGTATGTGATACACTACTTCAGACAGATGTTTAAATAGGAATAAAAGGAAATAAGGTGGAAAACAATACAATGCTGGCTTAAGAACTTTCAGGAATATTAAAAAAAAAAAAAAAGAAAAAAAAAGATAATTTCCCATTTAGCCTGGGGCAGAAATAAGGCCGGATTCTGATTAATTGAAAATACTCTTCCTATTGCCTTCAACAAAATCACCATCCAGCCTCTGCAATAACAGCTGAGAAACACGTTTCCTGAACAAGAAAGGGCAGGGCTGCAGGCTCCTGGCCATGGGTTAGCAGTTAACCCCAGTCACAGGGTTCTGCTCAACTTACACAGTGTTTTTTTTTCTGCTTCTCTGTAACTATTCTTGCCCAAAATTTTTAACCATGTTTACATGGTTAAAACATGTTTTCTTAACACGTGTTTTACACTTGTTTTTTCACAAGTGTTTAACATGCTAGGATTTTGGAACATTTCAGTTATGATCATAAACAGATAAACTTCTGCCAGTGTGAGAGCTGCAGTCTCTTGACTTGTAACTGCAGTCTCTTGCAGTGTGACTTGACGGAATGGCTACAGCAACAAATAGGGAACAGAGCACCACATCCACACCTTTGCAGGAACAACTGTCAGCTCCCCCTGTCCTGGGTTTAGCAGTGGCAGTCAATTTTTCTCCTTCTTGGTGGCTGTCGCAGTGTTGTGTTTTGACTTTCAGCCTGGGAACAGTGCTGATAACACCGATGTTTTTAGTTGCTGCTCCGTAATGTTTGGTCTGACCAAGGACTTTGTGAGTTTCATGCTCTGCCAGGGAGGAGGGGAAGCCGGGAGGAAGCAGAGACAGGACACCTGACCCAAACTAGCCAAAGAGGTATTCCATACCACAGCACATCATGCCTGGATAGGTAACTGGGAGCTACCCGGAAGGACACTGGGTCTTCGGGGTCGGGCTCATTTCGGCAGGTGGTATCGTATTCTCTTCCCTTGTTATTTTCTCTTATCATTATTATCATTGGTGGTAGCAGTAGTGATTTGTGTTATACCTTAGTTACTGGACTGTTGTTATCTCAACCTATGGGAGTTACATTCTTTCGATTCTCCTCCCCATCCCTCTGGGAGCAGGGAAAAAGTGTGGGGGTGGGGCGTGGGGGGGGTAAGGAAAGAAAGAGGGAGGAAAGGGGGGGGGAGGAAAGGGAAACTTCAAAAGTTTCCCAGCCTGTTCTATCTACTCACTCAAAAAGAATTAAATATGTCACTGTTTGGAGGGACAAGGTGAAATAGTCACAGTCATCAGTGATTCACAGCTGGAGCACCTCCTGTATGAAGACAGGCTGAGAAAGTTGGGGCTGTTCAGCCTGGAGAAGAGAAGGCTGCGTGGAGACCTCATAGCAGCCTTCCAGTATCTGAAGGGGGACTATAGGGATGCTGGGGAGGGACTCGTCATTAGGGACTGTAGTGACAGGACAAGGGGTAACGGATTAAAACTTAAACAGGGGAAGTTCAAGTTAGATATAAGGAAGAAGTTCTTTACTGTGAGGGTGGTGAGGCACTGGAATGGGTTGATGAAAGAAGTGGTAAATGCTTCATCCCTGGCAGTGTTCAAGGCTGGGTTGGACAGAGCCTCGGGCAACATGGTCTAGATTGAAGTGTCCCTGCTCATGGCAGAGGGGGTTGGAACTAGGTGATTTTAAGGTCCTTTCCAACCCAAACCATTCTATGAATTTATGTAATCAGTTTTATTGCAGCTGTACAACTGTTTATTCAATCTACTCCCTTAAGACAAACTGCACTGGATGTGGATTGATAACAGTAAATTTTTGTAAAGTTATCACTGTAATTTTGCCATTTCAGGACCACATTCTCAGGTTAGAAATGTGTGTTGCAAGATGTAAAATGCACAACAGATTAATAAAATGCTCTTTTTGATGGTGCCTGATATTGTTTAGAAACAGGAGGATTTTGGAGTGAAACTGCACATTAAAAAGCAACACAAAACACCTTCCCAGAAAAAGTTTACCGTTTGGGAGATCCATTGCTTTTCTTTGTCTCCCAAATGGCCACAGGAGCCAGCTGTGCTCTGGACTCTTATGTCCTCCAGTGGTCTTTTTTGTCCCTTGACCTGCAACACCACCAAGTTGCTCCTGCACATTTTGTGTGCCATCTACCCACTTGCTGCACAACCAGCCTTTGCTCAGCTGCCCTCTGAAAGTCTGGGCTCAAGCAGGTGGTTATCCTTTGTCAAGCAGATGCTTAAATGTCTGAAACTTCCCTCTCAAAAATGCATCAAACAGTTGTCTTTTTTGCACCTGTTTTCTGACTGTCTCATTTCTGATGTGGTTTCACTGGTTGACTTTATGTAACCATCTGCAATACCTCTTGTAAAGGTCAGCAACCTTTACATGTTGGTCTTCCTGAAGGTCTGTGTTTGTTACACACAATATCCTTAAAAACAAATAAAACTTGAGCAGTTTGAATTTACTATAGCAGACTATCCTTCATCTTTCCTTACAGACTTGAACTTTCCTGTTTTCTGATGTGGACAGGCTTTCTTGTTAGCATAAGAATCTACATTGCCCATCTTGTCGATGCTTAGTTTAAGTCCTGCTCAGCTCTTTGCTCCGCAGAAAGACATTGCCCCAGCCACTGATGTGCACTCTAAATTATTTACTGGAACCAAGGAGGGCACTCCCTGGCACCAACAAGTCTTTCCTCTCCCTGAGGGATTAGGCCATCAGTGAACCTCAGATTACTATTACATTGTCAGATCATCTTTAACCTGAGGTCTTGGCTGACACTGTTCTCTCCACTGCCTTCTCAAGATAGATAGATCAAGAAGGTACCAGGAGACACCAAAACCTGTTCACTGTTACCTGTAATCTTGAAGCTGACACTTACCTTACCTTGCTGTTGAGCAGGACTGATGATTGAGAATCTTAGAAGTGGGGTTTTCAGAGCTGCATGAATGATTTCTTTTCCAAACAGTAAAAGCAGTCCTTGACTTATCACGCTTGTTAGAAGCAAACAAAGCATTTAAATACGTTCCCATCCACTTACTTGAATTTGTCTGCAACTAGTTCAGACACAGGACTTCGTGCACTGTCCTATCTATCTGCACTTTGAATCTCTGAAGAATTTCTGAAGAAATCAACTCCCTGAGTGGCAAGGCCATGAGTCTGCATACTGTGAAAGGCCAGAGTCCAGGAACAGAGCCATGAAGCTGAAACCTCATCACTCCATATCTCAGTTACATCTGATAGCTGGGGAAAGGGAGAATTGCTTATCAGTAATTTTATACGCTAGAAGTGCAAACCTGACTTCTCCAATGCTGTGCAGGAGAATTACTAATTACACTACCAAATCAACTAGGAGTATTATTCTGCTGCTGCTCTGTTGTAACTGAGGATGAGAGGCACTGGAGAGCTGGAGCAATTGTGAGAGTCATAGTGACACTAACTACAAATTTTCTTGTCTTTTAGTTATCAAGGAAGGTAAAGAAACTGGCCCTTGCAGTATGCTGCTGCAGCAAAATTGCTCCTTGTTTCTGACCTACCTTGTTTACAAAGTTATACATTTACTTTTGAAGTCAGTGGAGCT